GCGGTGGCATAGGTGAGGGAAAGATGCCCTCCCCCCTCCTCCCCTTGCTACCCGCAGCAGGCCAGAGAGCTGGTCCTGGGTTCCGAGAGTGCACCTCACCTGTTCCGCACACTAGCGCTGATTCTGTAGTCAGGGATGCAGGCGATCCAACCCTGAGGGCATTGAGGAGAGCTGACACCATGCCTCCCTCCTATGTCCCTATAGCAATTGACAGGGAGAGCTCAGCACATTGCCTGGACAAAACAGTCACACTGGCCCTGTGACATGAGTGTGGGTGACTTGAATCTGGGGACCCTGCACCTTGCTGCAGACTGCATTGGGTGATATAGCCTGGGCAGTGCTGGAGAGCTCACCTGCGTAGTGGCAATGAGGAAAAGCTGACCAACCAAGCTACCACCCAGGCCCAGAACCAGGGCTATGTATGAGTAGGCCCACCCCAACACCACCTCATCTGTGAACTGTTGGAGCAGATGAAGGGGACAAACCTACAGATCCTGAGCAGCAGCATCTCCATGACACAGGACAACAGGATATCCAAGAGGAGCCCCAGTGAGAGCTCATTACTGGTGGTGGAGCAGAAACCAGAGGCCGTGAGCCAGACCGATGACTCACGGCAATGAACACTTACTTGTAAGTCAGGATGAATGGACTAAAAGGGTACACTGTGTGACTCAGCAGGCCACACTAGATCTTCCACAGAAACATTCTTCCCATTTTTGGTTTGTTTCATCTAGTTTTGTTTCATTTTGTTTGGTTTTTAGTTTTCAGGGTTTTTTTTTTTTTATTTGGTTTTGTTTTCTGGGGCAGGTTGCAAGGGCAGAGGGCAGATGCAAGGGGACGGGGAGACAAGTGGGATCGGAATGCATGATGTGAAATCAACAAAGAATCAATGAAAGCTAAAAAATATTATTCAGCAAAGTTCCATAATGTAGCTCTTACAATTACCCTTTTCTCATCCACCTCCTCCTTTTTTCCGCTTTCTTTGTTCATTTTTGTTTGTGTCTTCTCTGAGTCATATTTGCGCCATGTCTCAAGCTGGCCTGTAACTCTCTATGTAGCCCAGGCTGGACTCAACCTCTTGACCTTTCTGACTCCACCACTGAGTGCTGGGATGACAGGAAGTGTGCAGCACCATGCCAAGCAACATTCCCCACAACAATAACACAAGCATAATAATACTTATCTCTCAGAACCTTAGCAGAGGACTAAATAAGAAAATGAGCATCTAACACCATGCTTATACTCCAGTAGAAGTTAGCATCCTGCCCACTGACCAAGGGAAACTCTGGGGCGGCCAAGGGAAGGGAAGGTCAGGGCTCAGAGCACCCTCCCTCCTCCTCTGTTAAGGCCAAAGTATTTTTGGATGCGCAGTGCGTGTCCATTTGCGCAATCTCTTCCCTATTCTGTGCTTGCTCTGGGTATAAATAGATGACTTCAGCCGTCAGCGCTGTCACTCCGTCCGTACCGTGAGTGCCAGGAACATGCATCAAAGGAAGGAGGGAAGGAGAAGAAGAAAGAGGGGTGCAGAGAAGGAGGAGGGATGAAGAGACGGGGTGAGAAGAAGAAAATCAGATCATCAAATGAGCCCTAAAGATAATTCTCCCATTGCCTTGACAGGCATCAACATAGCCTTGTGTAGGAGGGCGAGGCCACTGCCCATGTGGCAGGAACACTCAGCATCCCTGGTCCATGGAAACGCACCCTCACTGCCTTTTGCTATAAGCATGGCTCTGGCACTGGGAACAGGGATGGAATCTTATTTGTGTCCTGTAGCTGGTTCCTGTGTGTTCCCAATGGAGTATCATGAGATCTCGATGTTGTGTAGGCGATGCTATTCCACACACAGCCGAGGTCATTTTTCAAAATCCTTCATCCAGGCATGAGTCAGAATGAATAACTCAGCCTGCTGGGGAGAAAACTACAAAGTGAACAAAGAGAAAACCATCACATCCTAAAGAAATCTGCTCAATCAACCTTTAAGTTTTGTTATTGGTGGGTGGGGGAGGGGAAACTAGGAAAGTTTACTTTTCAAACTCTGTTTCCAATATTTACTTTGTCTTGGCTATTACCAAGGTTTTATTCTTTTCTCCCCTTGGCTCTCACTTTCTTGATGTGGGAGTCCCCTCTGTGTGCTGTGATTATCATTAATGAATAAAGAAACTGCCTTGGCCTATTGATAGGACAGAACTTAGGTAGGTGGGGAGTGAATGCTGGGAGAAAGAAAGGTGGAGTCAGGAGATGCTATGGAGCTGTTGGTGGAGATAGATGCGCTGAAACTGCTGGTAAGCCACAACCTTGTGGTGATAAACAGATTAGTAGAGATGGGTTAAATTAAGATGTAAGAGTTAGTCAACAAGAAGGTAGAGCTAATGGGCTAAGTAGTGTTTTAATTAATATAGTTTCTGTGTGTTTATTTTGGTTCTGGGCAGCCAGGACGAACAAGCAGTCCCCTGTAACACTTTCCTTCCTGTGACAAGGATCACACATATGCACATGCACACACATGCATGCGCGTGCGCACACATACACAGACACACACACACAGAGACCCCTTTTTTCTACATCCTTCATCTCCTTTTACAGCAAAAGTTCTAGATAAAGAACCTACCTGTCCTATGTGCACTTTTCCAGACATCTCTTTTACTCTGGAATTCACTAAGGTTTCAGCCATAAACTTCCCAAACCCATTTTGTCAACATGACCAGCTGTCTCCTCATTAACACATCTAAAGACTTTCTAACACGGTTATACACTCTTTGTCCTATCTCCACCCCCATCCTTCCTACTCCTGCATCACCAGCTCCCCACCTGCAGGACCCTGTTGCTCACCTCTCATTCTTCCATTCTTTGTTTTGTTCTCTTTGACTGCAGGATTTATTCTCAGAATGGTCAGGACTCTCGGGCCTTTTGCTACCCTTTCTGCTTCCTTTTTATGGAATTTCATCCAATGTGTGGCTTTAAATATTTATTCTAGTAACTCCCAAATTTATCGAACCAGTTCTGAGAGCCTGAGTTTATCTACTGAAATACTTTCTTGTTTGTTATATTTTAATTGCTATTTCAAAGCTGCAATGACCAGAAAGGTTTCTTAATTTTGTCAAGCCCCTGGTCCATTAACCTTCATTTACCCAGCCAAATCCTTTCTGTCTTTTGACTGTTTTCCATCAAAAGCAAAGGAGAATCATTGGAGAATTAAAGGAAGAACCACACTTGACCCTGCCCTTACCATGTCCACTCACACGCTCACGAAGAATCATCTCAACTCATCAATGTATCTTTAAAATCTCTCCTCCACATCTAATTTTTCCTCTATACTTCATCTCCACAGTCAGTGTGTGTCTGGCCCTACCTTCACTTGCCTGGACTATGAACCACTGAGACAGCCTAAAACTGGTCTCCCTACTTCTATACCTGCTCTCCTTCCGCCTCGACAGGAAAGAGGGCAGGAAGCTTTTCAAAATGTAAGCAATGCTTATTCCCCATCAAAAGTCTTTGGATGACTCCCTTCTGACCTCTGGGAAAGTGACACTGTTATTAAGTCAGTGTGACCTCTGTGACCCGGCCCTCCATGGCATTCCAGTATTGCAAGCCACCCGTTCTCCCTCACCATTGTTCATCTGCTGCATCCTCCTCCTGCTTCTAGAAAGCCTGACCTCTTGCTTCTTGGAGTCTTTGAATCTCTCATGCCAGAGGGCCTTAGCCCAGGTCCAAAAGCTCTTCTGTGGGTCTTCTGGGGGTTCATTCCTCTCCTTTTCAAGTTCACTTACAGAAGACAGTGGTTCTCAACCTTCCTAATGCTGCCATCCGTAATACAGTTCCTTATATTGTGGTGACCCCCAACCATAAAATTAACTTTTGCTGCTGTAATTTCACTACTGTTACAAATCATAACATAAATATCTGATATGCAGGATATCTGATAGACAACCCCAGAGGGGTTGAGACCACAGGTTGAGAACCACTGATTGAAGGAGCGAGTCAGCTTCTCTAAAGGGATATAGGTCTCCACTCCTCTGCGCTCTCCATCACAGCTCACTACTTTCCCAGCACTTTTTACTGTTGCTATTAGAGGGTTTGCCCTTCCCTCTGACCTGCATCTCTCGGTGTGTGCAGTCTCATTTCACACGGCTCCAGGCTGGCCTCTGCAACCATTAGAAGAAAGGAAGGATGACATACCACTTCTGAGCTAGTAAGAAAAGATGCCAGCTCCTGCTTTCTCTCTCCTCCATGGATAATTATCCCTTGGACAACTCCATCTGGAGGGAAACAGACACAATGGTATAATACTGTGAGGAGCCCGGTGAACTGTCCCACTGCCTCAAGAAGCAACGCCTTCTCCTACTGTTGACTACTAGATGAGCCCAAAAGTGGGTGTACTAGATGAGCCCAAAAGTGGGTCCACCCAGGCCTGGAGCCGACTATGGCCAGACTGCAGCCTCATCAGAAGTCCCGAGCTCTCCCAGGCTCCTGGTCCTCTGAAGCTGTGATAAATAACTAGTATGTGTTAGATAGAACTGCTAGATCTTAGAGGGACAGCTGGGGTTGAAATCTATGACACTCTGAAGTGGCTGTCGCTGCCGTCCCTACCTCTATGGCCCCTTCAGCAGCAGGTGGAGTCAGAGTAGAAGAATAACATGTTCAAGACCTAAGAGAAACAGGATCCTTCTTCCTTTTCAAAGGGCTCAAATGTCAATCACAGAGGGTGGCTCAGATTCAAAGTGGTTTGGTCCTCTGGACTCTCCCTGAAATACAAGACACCCCCCACACCCTGAGGGAGCCAAGGCTGTCATCTCCCAAAGCTACAAGCCTCAACCTCCCACAGCTCAAAGCTCTTTCCTCAGATCTATCCAGATAATGAAGTTTTCCAGGTGGGGAAAAGTACCATTTAAGTATAGCAGAATCTCCCACAATTCAAAACAGCAGGTAGGTTTAGTAACACAGAGTTGTAAAAGACGTTACATAGTTAAAGGAAGTGACTATAATGTCTAATTTCCAAATAGAGACACTTCTGAGACATGACAGTGGCCATGATTATACCGGACAGCAGGTGGCCCAGGAGGACTTGGACACATGGGTCATGAAGTTACCCACGCTGCAGAGGAGACATGAAGTCGGGAGGGTGTGTGCAATCCTGGCCTTGTGATATCCCTTGTTGGTGACTAAACACGGAAGCTCTCAATGAATTGAACCCTGTTTTGTGGTAAGTGCAGCCACTTCCGGTGATTTTCTACCTAGGTGGATGACTTCATTTTCCAATGGGTTTGAATATTTGGGGAAAGAAACCTGGAGGATTGTGACTGGTCCATGTAAACGCTCTCCATTAAATTGCAGCCTTGTTCTTTCAACAAGCTTTTGTGGAGCTTCAGGTACAATTTGGGAACTAATTAGAGCTCTGAGAAACAGCAATTATAAAGTGAGGGACACGTACCTTCCCTCAAAGAACTGGCAAGCTAATAGCTGAGATACATGAAACAGAATAATTACAATGTGATGTACTTAAATGCCAAAGCACGTATTTCCCAAGACAGCACACATGGCCAGTTAAGATTCTTGAGGGTGCTGGCATCTCTCATTATACTAGGCCATCTAGTATGTGATGTGGACTTCAGGTAAGTTGTAATTCTTCTTGGCCTTGTTTTTCATACTAAAGTCTATTTTTTTTTTTGTTGGTTTTTTGAGACAGGGTTTCTCTGTGGTTTTGGAGCTTGTCCTGGAACTAGCTCTTGTAGACCAGGCTGGTCTCAAACTCACAGAGATCAGCCTGCCTCTGCCTCCCGAGTGCTGGGATTAAAGGCGTGCGCTGCCACCACCCGGCACTAAAGTCTATTTGTATCTCGGTTCACAACGTATACTTAAGATTTATAAAATTACATGAGTTTAGCTATCTTCAGGTTGTTAACTAAAAAAGAATGCTCTTCTCTCCTCTCTTTCTTCTGAGTTTAAATTACATGGTTCCCGGATTCTCCTTTGCCTTTTATGCTGCACGAGTAAATGTTTGCTGCTCAGGAGTGCTCATTAAGAAAGTGTGAACATCTCAGCCAGATTGCAAACTCCACCACCCAGGTCTGAGTGAGGAGCCTGCTGAGTGAGGAGGGCTGCTGGAAATCGCTCAGCTGCTGGGCAGCTTTGTCTGCATCTCCCTTCAGGGTTTTATTGTGAGATGCTTCTATGTGTGCTTGTGTTTTCTCTACCTGCTTCAGATGTGCTCAACACCACATTGCCTCAGGAGTCTGAGGACTGCAAGACATTTCCCACATGTGGGCTCCCTTGTCTGGCTTCACTTCCAATCAGATCAAGAAAGCTTTCCAAGTGGATGGGTTTATCTGAGAAAAATAGATAGTGAAATTAATTCACTTGTCCCTATATCGAAAATCTTGTGATTTTTTTTTTTCATTTTATGTGTGGTAAAGTACTACTTGCTAACATCTGTGACTCTGCAATCTGTCCAACAGCCCCCTCTGTGATCTCCAGATCTAACCCTGACTTTCCTCCCCTCTCCCACACAGTCTCACTTGGCCCTGACTGCTCGCCACAATAGATGGGTCCAGAGTCTACATCCAGCCAGGCCAAGCCAACCATACCAGCTTCCGACCCAATCATCAGCTTCATCAAAGCAAATTGATTTTAGGTGGATATTGACCAATCTTGACCTGGTTTAAATCCTTCAGGGTTACTTGAAAAGTGCTGAAGACACATTTCCCATCTTTCAAAAGAAGCCATAACGTTCAGAAAGTCTACATGTATTTATTCTCAATGTCTGAGAAGTCTACATCACCCTTACCTAAAAACTGTCAGTATTTTCACAGAGAAATCCATTAGCAATCTTCTTATTAAAGCTTAGTTTCATTATTATTTTACTTTATACTCCCTGAATATTAATGAGGATGGATTTCATTCTGTGTTCATATTCCTTGTGCATTTTATATTCCTTGTATATATATGTACAATGCATTTGATGGTTTTAATGTGAACAGTCTATAATCACAAAAAAATATTTTCATCCTTAGACTTCACCTACAGGTTACTTCACAAAACACATACTTAAACCAAGTAATGGGGGAGTTAAAAAACAGATACTGGAAATGTGTACTAAGGAAGAGTTAACAAACCAAATTTGATAATGCGTTCAAAATAGAATTCAAAATGAGAAAATAAGCAAATGGAATTTTTACTTTGAGCTTAATAAGTGTAACATTGTGCAAAAAAGTGTGTAAGGACAAAAGTTAGTGAGTCTTTATAAGATGTTAATGATCATGTACATACAGTATAGTTTTGAATCCAGAGAACATACACTGCAGCAATAGGAAGACAATCCTGCGGAAATTCTGTCACCAACAGATGGGCCAGAGGGTCAGAGAGAGGAGCAGCATATTTTGCACACAACAAAGAAAGAAAACCACGCGTTTCCAAAGACTCACTGTGTCCTTAATCAGGAAAGTTAACCATGAGGAAGAAGCAAGAAATGACCCCCAGTTCAGAGTCATACACAGCTAAGATATTAAAACTAGTAAGAGTAAGAAATAACACCAAAACTTGAATAAAATTATCTCTGCTCATGCTTTAATTTGCTGTTAATACTACAAAGAATCCTGTCTGATCAGTAAACTGAAATTTCTTGCTGTCTGTCTGTCTTCTTCTGTCCTTCCCCTCCCTCTTATCCACTCCCTATATAACCCCACATCCCTTTCTGGAAGAACCCAAGGTTTCGATGTTGTTGTTAGCACTCAACCACAGACCTTCCTCAGCAGCCACCTTACTGGGGTTTTGATTTCCTCCCTTTGAGCAAACTATCTTATAGAATATCTTATTTATATTTTAACTTTTTAATGTATTGTCTATTTATACGTCATCAACTATTGGGCTCTTGGTTTTTTTCTCACATTCTCTTTCTATTATACGTGTTCCCAATATCTTTGTTTTGTCCTTTAATCTTATGGGGACATTCCTGGAACAGGAATTTATATTTTTCAGTAGCCAAACTTGCTGTCTGTTAGTTCTTCCTGTGATGACAAGGACATCTTAGGGGAGGAATGGGTTGTTCCAGCTCGCAGTTTGAGGATGCAGTCTCTCATGAAGGGGAAGACATGGCCACCAGAGTTGCCCTAGCTGCGGGCAGGACTGTGAAAGAGCTGTCCAGTGTCCACAGACAGGAATAGAGAGATACCATTTTCTCCTTTTTATTTAGACGGGGACCCTAGTCCTTGAGATGGCGCACTTACTTCAAGGTGGGTCTTCCTCCCTCAGCTAAACTTCTCTGGAAAAAGGCTCACTGACAAACAAACCCAGAGGAATGCCCCCTTGGGGACTCTAAATTTGGTGACATTGACAGTGGAGATTATACACAACCAACAAAACTGCAAAAAAAAAAAAAAACAGAAGTTTCTGTTTTATTTGATTTTTAACTAATTATAATTCAATTTGAATAGCTGCCCAATGATAACAATTATGAATTGATCGAGAAATTCCTTCCCTTTTTCTGAAATTTATTCTTGTGTGTACTGTAAGGGAGAAATTTTTCCTTTATGAATATCTAATTATCCTAGCTCAATTCTTTTGACCCATCCTTATTTATTCTCACTGACTGGAAGCTACTTGTTTCATATGCCAAGTTCCTGGGTCCACGTAAATTTTTCTGCTTAAAATGTTTGTCCATTTTTGGTCAACATATAGTGGCTAAAACACCCATTTAGCTGATCAGACGTTTTCTTTACCATTTTCTTCTTTTATAAAATGTGTTGACTCTTCTTGTGTATTTTCCTTTTCAAATGAAGTTTAAAAAATCTTGCTCCTTTCTGAAAACATGGTTCTATTAAGGTTTCCATGGGAATAATCAATGATTTCATAGGTCCATTTGGAAAATAATTGGCATTTTAAAAACAAAACTTTTTTTTCTTTTTTGTTAATCTTTCATGTACTTTAGTCTATAGTTTTAATCCTAAAGGCCTTGCCTAATTTTTAAAAGATAATTCTTAGGTACTTTACAGTTTTTGTTGCTATTGCAGAGAATCCATTTTAAAATTTAAAATTACACGCAGTTACTGTTGGAGTACAGAAATCCATTGATATTTGAAAGTTAAGCTGATCTTGATTATTTTGTTGAGCTTTCTTAGGGTCATTCTCTATTAGTTTTGATTTTCTAGTTAGATACAACAACTTTAAATAGTGTGAACTAAATATTTACTGCAAAATATCCCACAAATTCATATCCCATATGTAAGTACATCTATATTCCATACATGTATACACACACACACGAATACACACAAGTATATATTTATTGTTTTTGCCTTGATTGGGATACTGAGAGAAATGTTGAATTAATAACCATGGCTAAAGATATTTTTCTTTTGTTACCTTTGAGGCTGCTCCAGGTGTCTGCTTGTGACACATGTCTCTCGCTCATCTCCTTCTTCAGTTCCCACCTCTTGGCACGTGGCAACTCCCAGTTTCTAGACCATTTGGTTGAAAAACTTTGGCAATTTTTGGTTTGCACAGCAGAATCTCTCTCAAGCTTTATCTCCATCCCACGCAAACTTCCTGTGGGCTCTCCCTTTGAGATACAAGCAGAACCCTGTCACCACCTTAATGGCTTCTCCCGTGCCTGTGACGATTCTAGTTGGAGTATGGCATTGGTTGACAATCTGCTTTTGCCAACTTTGTGGTAGCCATCTATTCTCAACACCACAACTGGAAAAATGACATCATTTGCCAGGGTGCCATATCTTGTTAATCACGGCACTCTGAGAAGGTGGCTGAGACTGAGGCTAGTCTTGGCTGCACAGTGAGTTTGAGACTGGTTTAGGCTACATGGACACTTGTCTCAAACAAACAAACAAACAAAAATCGGGTTTCTCCCAGTTCTGCCCATTCACAAACATGTTTCTACACAATCTTACCTTCATCTGTCAAAAAGCGTGTTTCCAAACTTTCAAAATTTCCATTCAAACGTCCCAACATCATCTTTGAAAGCTGTGGACTCCACTGGGTTTTCTTCAGAAGTAAAATGGAAAAAGCCCTAAGAACATTAAGTGTAAAACTGTTTAAGATTTTCTTCCTTTGGTAGAATTAAAATATACTACCAATTTAAATATTTCATCATAGAAATTCAAAAACCCACGGCTGGTATTTCAATATTCCATTACTTAATATTTGAAATATAATTAAATACATTTATGTACCAAGTCCAATGTAGTTAAATTCATTCCCTATCACCTTAGAATCCTTAAATGAAAATTTTAAAATGTCATCCCATGTACCAGAAGTCACTGAATTGTTCATTGTTAAATGGTGAGATTTTGTGCCTTCTGAAATCATCTGTTAACTTGGAAAAATGACTCATTCTGTGTCGGCCCCATCTTTGAAAACTAGCTGATGATGCTGAAGACAGTAGCCGGCCCTACACTCCAGCTTGGGAGCAGAGAGGGCCCTTAGGAACCAGCACTCCTTCATGGAACTTTCGGGTGTCACAGGTTGCTCATTTTGTGGAACATGTCCTACAAACTCTGTATTTTGAACACATAAATCTACAAAAAACAATTTCATCGCTGTTGGCAAAACTCTGTCCTAACCTGCTGTTCAGGTTCAAATCTGATAATAATGGTGCCGTTAACTCCAGAGAAACCCTGTAGGCAAACATGTCATGAGTGGCCCAGTTTGACTGAGAACAGACCCACGCCACTGGTCACAAAGGTAAACACTTGAGACATTTAACCCAGCCCAGGAGTCCTAAATGGACGGGGGTGGTCATCTGGATTATGAATCACCTAATTGGCATGTCAGAAAATATGCCTTTTATTGACAGAAGGTGATTGTGGGGGAGAGTAATTTTTCATGGAAATACCAGACACCTGCCTCCTTCTCTTTGTATTCAAACTTCTGTGTGTGGTGGGAGGGAGCGAGAAGAGGAGTAATCCTCTGCTACAGTTTTGCACCATGTAATACACGAGTTTATTTCGGCAGCTCTCCAGCAATGTGAAATTGTCTGGTTTCCGAATAAATCCCCATTGTTCGTGAGAGATCTTTAACTTTCTCTGCGCATCACAGGAATAGCTCCGTGGAGACGTGGCCCCTTGGACGTGGCCCCTCTTCCGCATTGCACTGGTTAGTACCAAAAAATGTGTTGCATGTACTCATCACTCCCACTGCAAACACACACACACACACACACACACACACACACACACACACACACGTCTACCATAGGGAGATAGAACTGACTCAAAGTTAGGAGTATTCTCCTTGTAGCTCCTCAAAACTCTACTGTACCTCAACAGCTGAAGCAATTGCTTAGACTGAGTAGTCATTCCATAAATATTTATTGATTTTAATATGGTGATTCCATTTTGATTTGCCCATGCATGGGTCCCAGAAAGCATGGTCAGGCATCCCCGGGGCACAAGGAATAAATTTTAAGTGGAAAACAATCCATCCCAATTCTAGCCTATGCATAGGTGTCTCTGAAAGTAAACGTAACAGAAACCAATTCTCCTAGGTGATCAGATCTTCAAATCACTTCAAGAAGTATGTCTCCTTCCCAACTGTCTGTTGATGTAGTCCGCATCTTTAACGTCCTCACTAGAGAGATGACGCCTTTAACTGACTTGCTTCTGTCTTCCTTCGCAGAATTGTGCTCGTGGTGTTCTTAGAAGGAAGAGAAAGCTTAAACTGACACATGACCAATAATCTGTAAAGGGCAGAAAGCCATCTGGAAAGCTCAAATCAATACATAACAAATGCATAGTATTGCGGAAGTCAAAAATAAGTATTGTACTTATAGATAGAACTACCTGCCAGTACCATGTTAATGTTTGTAACAAACCACATTTCCCCCCATTTCTTTTATAACTTACAGGAATGCTTCAGTGGAAAAAAAGTACTTTCTGTGTAGGTCTGCTGACTTGAGCTCAGTCCCTGGAACCCGTGTAAGGGTGGAAAGAAAGAACTGACTCTATGCAGGCATCTGGGGAGGATGATGACCAGGTGCACATCCTGCTGAGACTTTAATCTTCTTCTTCTTCTAAGGAGCATCGGCTCAAACTTTTGGTTGTCTTCTTTGCACATAGCTTAGTTTGTAATAGTGGTACACGTTGAATAAATACTTGGTTTAATGGCTTGGAGAGTGGAGAGGTTGCAGGGCACTTTGCAGAATGAGGAGCGGTAGAAATCTGTTGCCTAAGACTGGAGTAAGGAAGCATTGCTTGCCCTGGTAACCATAAAATCCTAGAGTACACAGTTGAGGCAGGGCCAAGGCTTGGTTGACTCCCCATGAGAAGCTTTACCCTTTCTGAGGAGTGGATGGAGGGTGGGTTGGGGGTTTGTGGGGGGAGGGATGAAGGAAAGGAGGGGAAACTATGATAAAATGAAAAGGAAGAATAAAATTGTAAGAAACAACAACAACATGAAAGGAAAAAAAAAAACCCTAGACCTCACAGCTCTGAAAGGAGCTTGGAGGACCTGGGCCACTGAATACCAACGATGTTC